GCCAAGACTGTGTGATGGGAAAATAATCATCTGCATCAATGATGCTGGGACCAGATGTCCAAATGCAAATGGATGGAGTTGAATCTGTATCTCACACTGTATATCATTACTCAGAATAGAATTTAAAATTAAGTGTAGGGCTGGTGCTCAGTGGAAAAGTGCCCACCTAGAACACTTGAGGCCCTAAATTCAATCTTCAGTGCTGAAGAAAACAAAAAAGAAAAATTCAAAACTAGGTAGAAGAGGAAAAACTCTCAGAAGAAAACAGAGAAAACCTTCATGGCCTTGGATCTGGTGATGGTTTCTTTTTTATGCTTGTCTGTCTGTTTGCTTGCTTGCTTGCTTGTTTGTTTGTCTGTCTGTTTGTTTGTTTGTTTGAGACAGGGTCTCACTATGTAACCCTAGCTGACCTAGAACTCAACATGTAGACCAAGCTGACTTCAAACTCCCAGAGGTACACCTGCCTCTGTCCCCTGAGTACCAAGATTAAAGGCTGTGCCACCACAACACTGGTAATGGTTTCTGATTCACGATGCCCAACGCACAAACAAAAAAAGACAGCCGCAGGGCTGAGGCAAGAGCACAGCCAGTAATACACCTGCTGCTCAAGCATTAAGTCCTAAGTTCAAGCCCAGCACCCATGTAAAAAGTCTGGTCTGGTGGTGCATGCTGTAATCCCAGGGCTGGAGAAAAAGGGACCGGAGGATTCCTTGAGCTTGCTGGCTAGCCACCCTAATGTAATCAGCGAGTCCCAGGTCCCAGTGATGGCTCCAGAGGACTCACACTCCCGATAGACCTCTGGCCTGCTCCACACATATGTACACACAGATTCACACACACACATATGTACATGTACACACACACACACACACACACACACACACACACACAGAAATAAATTGGGATGTCATTCAAAATTTAAAAACATCACAAGACTCTATAAAGACAGCGAGAAAGAGAATGAGTAAACAACCATAAGATGAGAGAAAACATCTGCAGGTCACATGCCTGATAAGAGTCTAGAGTTCTGAATACAGAAAGCCAGCAGGATGCAACAACAACAAAAACCGTCGTTTAAATTGGACAAAGGACCCAAGCCTGATGGTGCATGCCCATAACCTAGCGCTTTAAAAGGTTGAGTCAAGAGAGCTGTGAGTTTGTACCCAGCCAACACTGTAGAATAAAGAATAAATAAAATGAAGTGGGCAAAGGACCTGAGCAGATATTCCGAAGAACACACACCAATGGCCATCAGGCACATGGGAAGCAACTCAGTACTGTAGTCATGGAGACAGGTGAATCAGAACCACAGTGGGGTTGGCACTGTAACTCAGAGGTAGAGCACTCACCGGGCATGAGCAGAGCCTGGGCTCAATCCCCAGGACCAAAGTCAAACTGAAAGACTAAAGTGTATTCCACATCCACTAAGATGTCAATATTTCCAAAATGGCAGCAAAGGTCAATTTGCTGCTGACAGTTGGAACCCTGTGTATTGCTGGAGGGATAGGAAATATTTAGCCAATGTGCTTTAAATATAAAAATATACATAATTCATGAAGCCTACCTTGAGCATATGCCCAAAAGAAATGAAAAACTAAGGACTAGCAGACGCCTCTGCAGGTAAAAGCACTTGCTGACAAACCTGTGGATCTTCGTTCCATCCCTGGGAGACCCACATAGAGAAAGAGGAGAACCAGCACCTGTAAGTTGACCTCTGACCTCCACATGTGCCCAACACACACACACACACACACACACACACACACACACACACACACAAAATAGATGTTTTTGTAAATAATTTAAAAAAGAATTGAGGTAGATATGGTAGCACCTGCCCCGAATCCCAGCACTTAGAAGGCAGAGGCAGACAATTTAGATCTCTGTGTGAGTTCAGCCTGGTCTACATAGCAAGTTCCAGGCCAGCCAGGGCAAAATAATGAAACCCTGTCTCAACAACAACCACAATTGAGAACAGGTGTACAAACTAAAACTTACACACAAATTTTCATAATTTCACATGCATGTCCATATATGACCTATGTGGCATGTCCATGCAATGATACACTATTCATCCATAGACAAGAATAAAGTACTGGCACATGACACAACATGAATGATCCTTGAAAACATGTCAAGGGAAACAAGCCAGACACAGGAGGTCAGGTGTTGTACGATTCTGCTCACACAAAATATGTACAACAGACAGATCCATACAGGCGGGAAGCATGCCCGCATTGCCAGGGAGTGGGGAGAAATAAGGAGGTGTGAGGGCTGGCAGGTGTGAGGCTTATTTTGAGAGTGAGGGAAAATTCTGGAATGGGTCAGTAGTGCTGGGTGCACACCACTGGGAATGTCCTCAAAGCCGCTGCATCCTGTGTTCTTAAGTGGTTAAAATAGTCAGCGCCTGCTGCCATATTTCACCACGATGAAATTAATCAGTGAGTGTACACAAGATTTCCACAACATGGAATGTCTGACCTTATTGACATATAGGGACATCATAGTCACTCTAGAAAACACACTCCAAGTCAAACCCTTCACTAAAGTCCGCCTCTCTCTAGGCCAAAAAAGCAAGACTCGCCAAGATGTGGAAAAAAGAAAAACCAAAGAAGTCGTTTGCTTTAAAAGTAATATTGATAGTAGACAGCCTCCAGGCAAAAAGACATGTCCAGGGGCAGGGGACCCAGATGACGGCACAGCCCAAGAAGGTGTACGGTTGGGAACCCTGAACGCCCAGTGTCTCCTTGTCCCCATTTCCAGCAACAGGACCTCCCTTGGGCCCCGGGCCCTGGAGTCTCTTTCCCACAGCCTCTGTCCCCTAACAGGAACAAGCCACAGCTAGTCTGTCTCTCCACAGCACCATCTCATGACTGTGACCCCGGCTCTCTCAGGCCAGGGCAACCATCTCCCTAAGGCCACATCCTTGCCCAGAGTAGAGGCTGGCTGGGGTTAGGTGCCACCCGGGCAGCTATTCAGAGGGTGACACTTGACGATCACCTTTGACCCAGGGCAGTCAGCCTTTCCCTGAGTGTCTGCCATGGCACTGAGGTAAGAGCAATCCTAGCCTGTTTTCATGGCTCACCTGGAAGGAAGCCTTAGAGACAGGCGTCAAATCGCGCCTCTTTCCCGGGACCTTCCCACCGGCAGCTTCATCACTGAGGCCTGACACCCTCACACATGCATGCAGGCAAAACACCAAAGCACATAAAATAAAATAATAAATTAGCAACAAAAAAAAGAGACTCACAGGCAAGGGTTACAAGAGGAGGAAATCAACAGAGGCTTGGTGAGTTAACAGGTTTGCTCCAGGCCATACAGCTCTGCTGTGGGCAGACACAGAGAAGCCTAGCCCGGCTCCCCACCCCCCACCACCACACACACACACACACTGCTTGCTGAGCAACACTGATACAGGGGATTGACTGCTCCACGTCTCCAGCAGTGCGAAGACCCCAATCAACCACCGCTCCCTCCTCAGCTGAAGGGCCCAGACCGGCTAAGGCCCACCATGCTGGGGGCCTCTCCACTGAGAGTGGGCACAGTGTGGATTGGGGGTGTGTTAGCACTCTCTTTCAAATGGCTAGCGACACCTGTGAACAGAGGGAGTGATCTCGGGGAGAGGGCTGGCTTGGGCAGGGTGCTCATTCCACTTCCGCTCACAGGGAATATACATCATCTACATACATGTGCCCACAAACCCAGCCGGCTACTCCTCCTCCTCTCCCTCGGCCATTCCAGGTGCCCCCAGCCTCAAGGCTGTACCCACAGGCTGTCCATCGCTCAAGGTGTAAGAGTAGCAATGGATCCCACTGGGCATGTGGTGGTCTTGTTCACAGCGGAAACCCTTGCTGGGCTGTGGACCACTGCCACTCATAATCCTCCCCGAGACACTGGAGGAAATCATCACTGCCCTGAGAAGATGCAGAACCTGAGACTGGGAGAGGGGAAGTGACTTGCCCAGGATCACACAGCTACTCAGTAAAGAAGGCAAGACTAGGTTGTGAAGCTTGTCTATCCCAGATCTTTCTTACACCCCATATCTCCTGGACTTTTCTGGTTTACTCTAGAGCCAGACATACTGACCTGCTGTCACTGGGTCACTACCCAACTCCCCAGAGGGGCTCTGACCAGCCCTGAGTGAGTGACGGCCAGAGGGCAGTTGGGTGGGGCAGATGGTGGGATAGGACACAGAGGGTGAATGGAGGCGGGTCTAAGCACGGAGCATGCACACTCTAACAGCAGCACTTACCACCTGAGGAAGGAGGGCAGGGGCGCCCAGAGCAGTAGCCAACAGAGGAAGGAAGGAAGGGATTAGTGAGCGTGGGAAGCCTGGAGATGCCAGGGGCCTGGGCACCCCACACCTATTCTTCCACTCACTGGCCTGACAGGGGTGAAGGGTGAGGAGGAGGCCCCTGAAGAGTAACCCGCCATGTGGTTGGCAGAGACCAACTATCTGGGGCATGGCATCTCAGGAAGGCCACATCTGGGCTTTTAGAGGAGATATGGAAGAGCGCACGGCCTTTTGGTAGCGCAAGGCATGGACTCTACCACAGATGTGTCCTGATGGCACAACTGTTTGCCGTGTCTTAAATTCCCACGTGCCTCAGCCGGGCGCAGCGGTGGTGCTCACCTTTAATCCCAGCACTTGGGAGGTGGAGGCAGGCGGAACTCTGAGTTCGAGACCAGCCTGGTCTACAGAGAGAGTTCCAGCATGGCCAGGGCTACACAGAGGGACCCTGTCTTGAAAATTTAAAAAGAAAAATTCCCCGCGTGCCTCAACTGTCCTCACTGTTCTTAGGAGCCAGAACCCAGGCAGAACCAGCGGATAAAATCAGGACGGGGCCAAATCTAAAAGCAAGGCCTCCCGGGTCTGCTAGGAAAAACACTGTCGCTGACCAAGGGTTTCAGCAAGAGGGAGGGTTACAGGGTTGGCTACGTCGCCCTCAATGACAGGAGCCAGTGAGAGCGCAGATCCCCTGACGATGGTCCCCCTACTCACATGTCCATGCAGGTCTGTGTTAAGCAGCATCAGGGCACAGGTGAGTGTGTGGATCCCATCTAAATAGAACACAGTGGATTCTCAGGGTGAGAACCCACTCACTCCCACCAGGGTCCCCCACCTAGAGGCCACACAGACCAAGAAAGTCAGATACCTGCCCCCAAGCACTTTAGGGTCAAGGCCTGGGTGATGCCCCACCCCCCAGGGCCCCTAACCACCCTAGACAGGCTCTAACCCAGATGTCTGCCCCTTGCAGACAAAGCCACCTTGAACCTTAAACCTAGGAAAGGCTTTGGACCCCAAGCCATGTCCCTACAATGGCAATAAGAGTCTTAGTCCCTCAGTTCCCGAGATTCAGGTCCATCCATATGGCAAGTCCTGCGAGAGACCTGCATGGGACGCCCCCTCCCCTAATGAGTCAGCATTGTGACGGGAGACGCGGAACACGGACTAGACTAAAGGACCGAGTGTAGGAAGGACTTACAGACGCTGGGAATGGATGACAATGAACGAGACCTTTGGACAGAATATCTCCTGCCCAGCAGGCCACCTGATATTCACTGGACATTGCATGGTCTTGGTTCTTGAGGCAGGGTCTCACTCTGTAGCCCAGGCTGACCTCAAGCTTGAAATAGCCCTCCTGACTCATCCTGCCCATCCCTGGGATGTCGGGTATAAGTCACCACACCCAACTGTATTCATTGACTTTTAATTGAGCATCTACTATATGCCAGAGCATATGGCCCGCCTGGGCCTGCCTGCAAGGTAGAGGTGTCAGATGGGCTAGGGTGGGAGAAGACCAGGCCTCAGCTAGACAAGGAGTATGGGGGGGGGGGGGGTGTCAGGGAGTGCTGTACCTTCTGAGGTGCTGTCGTCTGGGTTACACTGGCAGTATCGGCGGGAGAAGTGGGTGAGGACTCGCTCTCGCTCCTGCGTCTCCCCCATCAGTGGGAAGGCCTTCAGGAAGGTTCTAGAATTTAATTCAGGCTTGGTGAGTGAATCCCAGAGCCCCCGATTCAGTCTTCTCGCTGGAATAGAACTTACTCCCCACGCACACACACACACACCTGAGACCAGTGTTCCTGTACCCCAGTACCTGGGTCTGGACACCCCCCTCTGCAGGCCTGGGCAGACCCCCTGACCCTCCAGGATGGCCTCTGGAGTCTAAGACCTCAGAATTCCTATTCTCTCTCTCATTCCTGCAGCACCCTTCTGGAAGTAGGCAGATGAGCCCCCCAGGGCCAGGATCAGCGTGTGCTAGACTGCCAGCCCCACCCACCAGCATGCTCTTCTTCAATTCTCTCCTCGCCATCAGCTAAGCCCATCCCTCCATTCCCATTCCCCCACCCCCAAGTCTGAGCTGCACCAAGTCTCTGTGGTTTGTTCTTCATTTCTCTGGGGTGGGGAGTTGTTCGTTTGTTTGGGACAATATCTCTCTACATAGCTCTGACTGTCCTGGCACTCTCTCTCTGTAGACCAAGCTGGCCTCAAACTCAGAGATCCACCTGCCTCTGCCTCCCGAGTGCTGGGATTAAAGGCGTGGGCCACCACTCCTCCTCTTCCTGTTCCTCCTCCTCTTCCCGCCTAATCTACCCTCATCACATGCTCAGGGCATCTACCCCAGCCTCCCAGCTAACACCCCACACATATTATATCTGCTTTGTAGACACATAGGCAATCTCAACCCACCCATAGCCACTTAAAACCTTTCCCTGGCTCCCCAGAAACCCCAGAGAAACATCCACATCCTTCACATTGCAGCCTTGCTGATGCCCAGACCCCTCCTGTCCCTGGGACCTCATACCCACATGCTATTTCCCCAAACCATGTTCACAATCCAGGCAGGGCAATGCTATTCTGGGCCTCTGCGTGTGCTGGGATCCCTCCAGGACATCCTTTCCATCTAGTCATCCCTCTCAACGCCAAGTTCAAAGGTCGATTCACTCTTAGGGATACTTGGAAGCTGATCCCAAAACCAGAGGGACTGGAAGATGGGGCCAAGAGCTGTCACCCAGGTCCTATGCACACCCTTTCCTTGAGAAGGGAAACTCCAAGCTGAACCTGTTTGTGCCTCTCTGTCCTGGGTTCAAGACAACATGTCCTAGTTTTGCTAGTTTTTTGGGTGTATGAGCCAAAGTACCTGCAATGCCCTTTCACGATGCCCTCTCCGAGATGCCTAAGAGCCCTGGGACCTACGGCCAACCTTTCCCCTTGGAGGTCTCCTAGGCACCCCAAACTGCAGAGCACTCCTGAAATTCAATCCCAAGTGATATACTATTACGCAAAAACATCTCTTACCCGCTGTCTGGGTCTCCTCCTGTCCCTGCCTGGCCTGTATCCTGCCCTCTCCCCGAGTCCCTCATACTCCACTGTGCTTCCTTTTTATTTTACTTACTTTATAAGCACATGTGAGTGCCTACATGTATGTCTGTGCAGCACCTGGGTGCAGTATGCACAGGGGCCAGAAGAAGGCAAGAGGATCCCCTGGGACTGGAATTACAGACAGTTCTGGGCCACCTTGTGGGTGCTGGAAATAGAACCAGGGCCCTCTGGAAAAGCAGCCAGTGCTCTTAATCACTGAGCCATCTCTCCAGACCCAATCCATTGTACTTTCTAAACTCCAGCCCCATCCTTCCCAGATCCTGCTTCCCAGGGGCTCTCTACCAACCCCCAAGCCTCACACCTCACTCCACGGCTCACTCCACGGCATCCTCAGGCCTGTCCTCTTGCACCAGACCCCTTCAGAAACCTTCACACCACTGGATTAAAGGCTGCTAGCACACTGCTATTGTACTGCTTCACACCCAGTGTAAGGCTCTGGACAGTCAGACCTCACTCTAGGGACCACTATACAAGGCCCTTCAGCCAACACCGGTGTCTCTGATGGTGAGCCAGTGCCCCCAACACTGTCTCTCTGATCTCCCTCACTTTGGTGCCATCCAAAGGCTCAGCTCAAGATAGATCTGCTTGGAGCAGAGCGACATACGTCCCCAATAAGGCAGCTGTGCACTTCCTCAAGCCACAGGTGAAGCGATGAGAACCACGGGCCCATGCTCTCAAGATGGAGAGGACTGGACAGGAGGGGGCTGACATGGGATCGCCCCCTCTTCCCCGGGTGCATTGCCAACAAAGCCTATGGGCAAAAGGCAGTATACTGGACCCTTTCTTGAGGCTGGAAAAACAAATCTGGAGTCGTGAGGGGTTGTAAGCACATGGGCACACAGTTGCCAGGCTCTGAGGGCGTGACAGTTACGGAGCTGCGAAGTTGGGCAGAAAGCCTTCCAGAAGCAGAGGGATTTTTTTTTTTTTTTTTTTGAGGGGAGCCGTTTCGCTGCAAGGAGGTAGTAAAATGAGGATTCATCACCAGCAAGGGGAGCCGTCCCGGGGAGCAGTCCCGGGGACACAGCAGGCTCCCCATACAAGGCTGAAGCTCAGAGGCAGCCCTGAGAAACATGCGTTAGAGCTGCCGCTCCTCCGCCTGGCCTGGATTAGGACCGTGTCCCATGCTCCTTTCCAACTGCCCTCTAAAGGGAGGGCTGGGCGACTAAGAGATAGAAGGGGTGCTGGAAAACCGAGAGGACAAATAGAAACAGACACAGAGTGGGGACTAGAGAGACGACAGCTCAGTGAAGAAGGCAGTGCCGGGCGAGCATGAGGTGTGGAGTTCAAATCCCCAGAGCCTGTAACTGCAGGGGAACACAGTGACCTGCCGGTGATTCCAGCGATCAGAAAGCAGAGAGAGGGCGTTCCTGGAGCAAGGCAGCTTGCCGGCCCAGTCATATCGTGAGCCCTGAATTCATCTGAGTGACCCCGCCTCAGAGTATAAGATGGAGAGCAGTTGAGCAAGACTCCAATATCAACCTCAGCCTCTGCACATGTGTTCCCACATGTGCACGCATGCACACATGCACACACACACAAATGAGTCACAAGTACAATTAAAAAAAAAAAAGACATAGGTGATTCAGATGAGTTAGTGAAAAGATGTGGAGTCCCACAGAGAACTAAAATCTACTAAGTTTAAATATGATGGAAATTCTAGAAATGTAAAATGTTAACTGAGAATTAAAAACTTAATGAGGGTTTTTTTGGGGGGCGGCGGGTATGTATGCATGTGTGGTATGCATGCCTGAGGGTATGTGTGCTTGAATTTATGTAGGTGCTTGTGTGTGCGTGTACACACAGTGGCCAGAGGTTGACATCAGGTGTCTTCCTTAGTTGCTTTCTACCTTATATATTGAGGTGGGGCAGGGGGCATGGAGTCTCTCATTTGAACCAAGAGAGCATGCTGATATGGCCAGCCTAGATAGCCAGTTTGTTCTGGGGTTCCTCTCTGTCTCTGCCTCCCACACACTGGGATTACAGGCAGACACCATGCCCACCTAGCATTTACATAGATGCCGAGGTCTGAACTGTGGTCCTCACCCTTCCTACTCATGCGGAGCCATCTCTCCAGTCCCTCAGTAAGTTTTTATTGGCTTCGATGGTACATTGGACATAGCAAAATAGCAAGTGTACCAGAAGCCAGCAGAAAATACCCCAACCGAGAGAGAGGGGAAAAGAAGAAAAAGTGATTTTTAAAAAGTATAAGAGATGGGGACTGGAGAGAAGGCTCAGAGGTTAAGAGCACTGGTTGCTCTTCCAGAGGTCCTGAGTTCAATTCCCAGCAACCGCATTGTGGTTCACAACCATCTGTAATGAGATCTGGTGCTCTCCTCAGGAGTTCAGGCATATATGCAGGCAGGACACTGTATACATAATAAAAATTAAATAAATCTTTAAAAAATTATAAAATGTTTTTTTAAAAAGTATAAGAGACATCTGGGATCCAACAAGACAGTCTAACATCTATGGACACAACCCTTAGCTCAGAGATATTGCCCTTCCCTCCTCAGGCCTGGCCTGGCATCCTTCTGATGACTCCGGGCTACATCCACCCATCCCACCCATCCCTGGCCCACAACTGACCCTCCTGTGGCCCAAACGCTAACACAGCTGCAATCAAGTCCCCTTTACCATCTAAGTAGGCCAGGTCTATAAAGACCTATGGCATCTGGCAGGCAGGAAGTGCTCCATACAAGCGAGCCCTAAGAGTCATGACTATACTCCCACCTCCATATCCTGAGCATTCATCACAGTAGCTGGCGTCCACTGAGGTGTTGGACAACTGCTACCCACAGTGTCCCTCCCCACAGCTCTGCCAGAGGGGTAAAGGTTGCGCAGCAAGTCATGATAGACCCGGAATGACAATCCAGGTGTGCTGTTCCACCACCTGTGGGCACTGTCCCATCCCAGCCCCACTGACCTGAGTGCTCTGTCCAACGTGAGGCCTGAGAAGTCGAAGAAACTGAGGTACTCTCCAGCGACCAGCCTGCTGAACTCATTGCTGCCGAGAAAGCACCATAGGATGTCAGTTAGGGCAGGTCCTAAGTCCCAGGATGGCAGGTCCTGGGGAACTGGGCCCCAGAGAACCCTAAACCACCACCCAGCTCTGTCCAGACCCTGAGTTGCCTCCCCTCTGGGCACTCAGCTCAGATGGATCAACCTTGGTCTGGGGGCTCAGGAGATGACATCTCCGCTCAGGTAAGAGCCTGCTCAGCAAAGGGACTGGGAGTGAGGTAAAGCCAAGTGTCCCCAACAGAGATGATGATATGACATCACATCAAGCTGGGGGAGGGAGCGGGGAAGCAAGAGGTGAGGCAGGGACAAGACCTCAGATCACAGGAAGGACCAGGGCCTGGCTACAGACTTTGATGCTAATACCACACCTGCAGAGTGGAGACCCACAGAGAATGGATCCAGAAAAAAAAAAAAAAAGTGGCCCAGATGAGAAAATTTAGGTTGCTGAGGTCACCAGAAAGGAAAAGGAAATGACTGAGAAGATGGAGATGTCGGAGCTCGGGACAAGGACAGGGCTGGCTAAGTCCCTGCGAGAGTAACCCTGTAAGAGACAGCTTGGTGTCGTAAGAGCCGAGCCCTTGTGAGAACAAGGTGCAGGGAGCTTGATGTGGTGGTGGTGCTTTCCTGTCACCTCAGCACTGTGAGGTGGAAGGACCGGGAGGGAGCTTGAGACCAACCAGCCTATGTAATGAGACCGTGTCTCAAAAACAAATCAGTGAAACTTTTAAAGGTACAGACGGGCTGAGGGGATAGCTCAGAGTGTCTGCCTACCATGCACAAAGCCCTGGGTTCAATCCCCAGCATGGTAGGTGTCAAGAGGATCAGGAGTTCAAGGTCACCTTGAGCTTGAGGCCAGACTGGGTTGAAGCAATAGCTCAGTAGTTGAGAGCATTCACTGCTCTTCTGGAGGGCTTGAGTCTGGTTCCCAGTACCCATGTCACGTGTCTTGCAACTGCCTGCAACCCAGCCACAGTGGTTCTGTCGCCCTCTTCTGGCTTCCTCGGGCATCCGCACACATGTAGCATACAATCACACAACACACACACACACACACACACACACACACACACATCCATACACATAAATAAAAAATATTTTCTTTTAATGTGCGAGCCTGGGGCAGAGATCTGAAAGCAGCCCCATTAAGGGTCTAGACCAAGGAAAGAGCTGGTGAAGGGGACTGAGCATCAGCAGGGGAGTAGGGCTGTACCCTCCTGGAGGCCAAGGAAGAACATGTTTCATGAAGCCTGGGAGGAAGACTCTGAAGAGATTTCTAACCTGACTCTAATTAAAGGCTTTTAAATAAAAGTCTAAATAAAGCTTTCCTTCCCATTGACAGGATCATGGGAACTAGAGGAATGTGTGAAATAACAGCAGATCCACATCCAAAATGTGGGAAATTCTTTGGGATAAATGGCTCTGTTCCTTCAGTACGTGGCACTTCCTGGGAAGGTGGCCTCCAATGTTAAAATGCTTGCCTTGCAAGCCTGGTGCTGTGGAACAATCTTTGTACACTCTAAATATACGCTGCTCTCATTGTTAATAAAAAGCTGATTGGCCGATAGTTAGGTAGGATTTTTCAGGGCAGAGAGAATGCTGGGAAGAAGAAGGGTGGAGTCTGAGGAGTCATGAGTCAGACTCAGAAGAAGCAATATGAGAAGTTCATAGATGAGGTCAATGAGCCTCGGGGCAGCACATAGATTAATAAAAATGGGTTAATTTAAGTTGTAAGAGCTGGCTGGAGACAAGCCTAAGCTAGCAGCCGAGCATTTATAATTAATAATAAGTCTCTGTCTGGTCATTTGAGAACAGATGCCAAGACACAGAGAAACTCTGTACACAACCTAGGGATCTGAGTTTGAATCCCTAGCATCCAGGTTAAAAAGCCACTGTGGTGGCATGGACATGTAATCTCATCACTGAGGATGTGGAGACAAGGGGATCCCTGTAGTTTGCTGGCTGGGCAGCCTAGCCAGTCAGTGAGCTCCAAATTCAGTGGGAGACCCTTTCTCAAAACCTCTATTTCTCAAAAGTAATAGAGGAAGACACTCAAGACCAACCTCTGGTTGATGTTTTTATTCATTCTTACAGATGAACATGCATGTATGGAGGGGAGGGAAGGATGAAAAAGACAGAGAGGTGGCTAGTTGTATATTAAATGCCACTTGTGAAAAAGAGGGCCAGGTGCAACATGTGAATCATATTCCAGCCCTAATTTGACCACACAATTTTTATTTATGTATTTATTTTTTGGTGGTGGTATGGAGGATTGAACCCAGGGCCTCATGAACATAAGACAAGTGCTCTATGCTGAGCTACAGCCACGCCCTATTTTTATCTTATATATTTCTTAGGAAAGTCTCACTAAGTTTCCCAGAGTGTCCTTGAACTCACTCAGTAGCCCAGACAAGCTTCAAGCGTGTAACCCTCCTGCCTCAGGCTTCCAGTAGCTGGGATAACAAGCCTGTGCCACCAGACCTGACCAAACCAATGTTTTTGAGAGAATCAGAGAAAATGAAATACACCAAATGATGAATTTTTGTTAATTTTGTTAACTGTTATAACAGAATTGTATAAAAATTCCTTTTATCAGCTAGAGGTACAGCCTAAGTACTTGTGAGTCAAATGATAAGAATATATGCATATGCTTCCCACAAGTGGAGGGAAAGCTATGGGGTGAAAGAAGAAAGAATAACAGAAGAACACCAAAGCTGAGAGCTGGGTGTGATGATACACACCTATAATCCCAGCATTTGGGAGGTTGAGGCAGAAGGATTTGGTGACCAGCCTGGGCTACATAGTGAGACCTCAGAACACTTTGAAGTTGCATAATGGGTGTACGAACAGTTGGATGTATTGCTTATCTGTTTTGTGTACGTTCAAAATGTTCATAATGAAAGACTTGAAATAGGAACAAGTGGACCAGTTGTGTCCATGCTGCTGAAGGCGGCATGGGTAGCAGCCAATCGCTTCCAATACCCTAAGCCCTCAGTGATCGGAAAGAAAGTGTCTAAAGGCGGCACAGAATGGCAAGAACCCATCTGGAGGGGGCTAAGGGAAGAAAGGAAGGGACAGAAGCCACCTAGGGCAAAAGGCCTGAGAGCTGGAGATGAGGATTTGGAAGCGCCCCCCTCCCCCGACCCCACCCCATACGCTTTTTGGATGGGAGGGGTGAGCTGCAGGAACTGCAGGAGGAGCCTGCAGGGGGCGCCATGGAAACGTGGCAGGAACCCATTCTCCCAAGGATGGAGCTGTTCAGCCGGCCAGAGGAGTTTGAGTTGTGATTTTTCGGAAGGGCTCCCGGGAACCCACTGCCCAAGGTACAAGGAAGCTTCAGAGGGTACAAAAAGGCCTCCCAAGACTTAAACCCCTCATCTAAGCCTGACCCGGGTCTGACCATCTGCCTTAGCCTTGTGAGTGGTACAGGAGGCCGGCCAGCTCCCTCCACCCCCAGCCTTCCTGGGGTGATGAGTCCCTGTGGATAGAAAGGCCAAGGCAAGGACCACACTATGTTCAAACATACCCGGGAAATGTCACCCGCATCACACGCACGCGCGCACACACACACACACACACACACACACACACACACACACACACACACGGTCCCCAATCCTCCTCAGAACTTCTGCCTGCCTAGTGTTCTTTGCACCCGGTTCCCTCATAGGTACTCCCCTCCACCCGGCCCCATTGGGTAGAGCTCCAGCCCTGTGGCATTATTCTGTCCTCTCTGCTGCCCTTCATGACACCACAACCACATCCCCCATCACGCCCCAGCCCTGAGGGGCCGCCTGTCACCACCCCCTCCCTGACAGCAGCCACCTTCTCCCAAGCAGCCCAGAAAGGAAACAGATTTAGGGCGAGGTCAAGAATGAGGACGGTGACAGGAGGAGGTATCCTTGGAGGGCTGGTGGGAGAGCTCCTGGCACCAGCTACCCCTGAAAGAAGTTGCCAACACCCTTTTCCCGGTAGCTGAGGAAGACAGTGGGTCTGCTTCGCCTGGCATAAGGAGCTGGGGAGACACACTCACTTCTTGCCCAGCTGCCGGGCCACATCGCAGCGCTGGAAGCCCTCGAGGTGGTAGAGGCGGCGGGCCAGCCGGCGAGCGGCTTCGCTGACCCCCTGGCACCCGTTGGTCAGAGGATCTGTGCCACCAGGCTCCAGCCCCTCGGAGCTGCTCAGCTCTGAGTCCGAGTCTGACAGGCCATCCTTGAGGCTGGTGTCACTGCAAAGGGAAAGGAGAGGCATCAGAGAGATCCCACTGAAAATCCACTGGGTGGGGGAGGGGGACAGGGGGGGGCGGGCAGAGGAGAGAAAGAGACTCCACTCCGGGCAGCATGGAGCCAGACTTCCAGAGCGGCTCAAGTGAATCAGATGTGGCTGTGCCCTCAGCATAGCAATATGACCTGCCCCGAGCTATTAGAATGGACAGGCAGAGTGCACGCACCCTCAAGACTGTGGACGGGCTGTCTGCATGCAGAGGATAGACAAGGTGACCTTGCGAGGGCTTGTGGGTTGCGGACACTGCCCTCCCAGAATGTTTTGCCTCCTCTGGGTCCCAGTTCCCCTATCTGCTCGGTGGCTCCCCAGCGCCCAACCCAGCCCCTCCTCACCTGGCAGAGTTCAGCAACTTGTCCGTGTCCTCGTCATCCTCGTCATCCCCTCCTGAGCCCCCAGGTCCATCTTCATGGAACCCATTGGGCACCGAGGTGAGAGACAGGTGGCTCAGGACATTCTCCGAGCGGCTGCTGGAGATGGACCGCCTCAGGGGGCTGCCCAGCTCCCCATCACCACCACCGGCTGCCCCCAGATCCCCCTCAGGCCCCATGTCCCCAATGCCCAGCCCAGCCCCAGGCTCGGGGCTGTCTCGAGCCCGCTGCTGGATGAGGGGTGTAAGGGGGGCCTCGAAGCTGACACAGCTGTCGCTCTCATCGGTGAGACTCAGCACATCCAGTGAGTCCAGGCTGCTGTACTGGGTGCCCCGCAACAGCTCTGACTCCAGGATCTTCTCAAAAGTGGCACTGAAGCCATCCCGCACATCTGGCTCCCCAGGGCAATCCAGCCTGTAGAACGCAAGAGCGCAGTCGCCATTCTAGATAGATGTGCCCCCATACTAAGACTAGCTACCACACTACCAGTCTCTAGGAGCTGAACACACGCACACCATGCATACTCACACACCCCTGTGCATATACCAATGTAAAGGCTGGAGACACACATACGTACCCCCATACATACTTACACACCCCTGAGCACTTGCCCATTCAGGCCTGGCAGGCCTACAGCTACGCCCTACAAGACGTGTGTGTGTGTGCTCTTCTCAGGCTTCCTGGCCTTTAGACATTGCCTGCCCACCCCCTCCTCCTTGTCCAGTGGTACCCCAAGACCAGTTTTTCTACCTTCCGCTGAGAAACAGACTGCAACTCCACTGACTAGGAAAAACACAAGGTTCCCGATACAACCTATTCAAAATCCCAGGGAAGTTCCCTGGGAGGGATGAGCACGCGAGGCCTGCACACCTGGGCCATCTTGAGGTAGGAGAATGGGCCAGATAACCTGCCTTTCACATCTAGATGTTCTGAGTGAACTTGAAGCTCCACTCTCAGCTGGGAGAGACAGAGTACAGCCCCTCATGGAGATGGCTCAGTATGGTTTGTGGGGGCTAAGTGCTGGGGGGGGGGACAGCAAGCCTGCTTGCCTCTGAAATCCCTTGCAGGACTCCGTCTTTTCAAAACACTCAGAAGCTGAAAATGGGGAGAGGAAATCCCAGACTCCCAGAGAGACTAGGGACTAGCCCCAGGCCATCACCAGAGTTAGAAATGTGAGTGCCCATCCCAGGGTACCCACTCACCCCAGCTGAGGGTCCTCAGCATCTGGACAGAGACTTCTGGACACATCCTCCTCCTCCTCCTCCTCTGCTGGTCCACTAGCCCTCCAGGGTCTGGATTCCATGGAGTCTTCCAGAATGTTCCCATCTTGTCCCAAGGCCAGGCCGTTGGTGAGAGAGAGGCTAAGGCCAGGCAGGGCCGCCTCTGGGTCTCCCGTGGGCTCCATGGTTCCCTCTAAGGGGCTTCTCTTCTCACTGCCTGGACTGCTGGTGTGGCTACCTGGGCCTCCACTGGCCTCCATTCCATTCTGGACCCCAGGCTCCCCTTCAGGCTCCAGGCTGTGGTCCTCGACGGCACCTCCTTCCTGACGCAGTTCACATGGGAGCTTTTCTTCCTCCATGGCAGTCACTGCTTCCACCTGACCCAGCCAGCCCTGGGGCTCCAAAAAACTTGACAGAAGACAGAGAGAGAAAGACAAGTCAGTCAGACCGGGCGGAAGTCGGAGGGTCTGGAGTCCTGTGAAACCAGTGCTGGGGCCGCCTATGATGACCTCCTTAGTAACTTTCAGTTGGGGAATGAGCTCGGGTTGCGACACCCTAACTTCAGTGGTCAGGCCAGCCCCCTGCCTCCAGCTCTTCTCTGGCCCGTGGCTGGACCATGGTACTCTAGCCCCTGCTTTCTCTACTACATCTTAGGGTCTCGGTTGTGTCCTTCAGCATCCACCAAAGTCCCTTGAGGAAGACCCAGGTAGTGAGGAACTGGGCAAGTCTCCAGCAGCTCTTGAAGGCCCCCCTGTATTATTGAGAGCGAAAGGAGACAAAACCCCAGGTTTGCCTTAGCGGGCCATGTGCCTGCCTCTCCACATGTTTGCAGCCCCGGTTGCAGGAGACAGAGGAACCCGCATTTGTAACTAAGCGGAGGAAATTGGCCCAGGAGTTGCTTTGAAAGGGGGCCACTAAGAGAGAAGTCCAGGGAATGCGCGAAAGTGCAGCTTGATGCTGGCAGGGAGCAGCGTTCCAGGGAGGCCGAGCAGAGCCGGGGACCGCCATCAGCCACAGGGGGCCCACCGTGAGCAGCGCGCTGTCCAGGGTGCTGGGCGTTACCCGCTGCGCTGAGGCGAGGCTGCCCCTGCCAGCGCAAGCAAGTGTCTAGCGATGGCAGAAGACGGGAGAGAGACCAGGGCTCCCTTCTCCATGAGCCCTCCCCCTCCCAGGAGTTCACCAAATCTTAAGGAAGAGCTCGAGGAAGACCTCTGAGAAGCACTCTGGGGAAAATGAAGCCAGAAGAGCCACACCCTGCTCTGCCCAACCTCCAGGGGCTTCCTGCCCGATGGCATTCTAGCTAGGAAGGCAGAAGCCGCGTGCAATGGGCTGTGGCCTCACTCACCCATTCTCTCCTCTCTGCCCCAGGCCCCTGTAGTCTAGGCTACCCTCCCAAGTAATCTCAGCCGGAGACACGAGCCAGGCCCGCCCCCCAACACCCTGGAAAGCTGCAGAGGCAGGTGCCTGGACTTTTCCTGTTTCTGGTTTGAGTTATTCCTTTACTCCACTACATGGGCCTTGGTGGCCCCCAACACCCTGCTTTCTTCTGGAGAGATCTATCTGAGTTCAGGAGAGGCTGGAGGAGGAGAGGGAGAAGTCAGCTTTCTGGGCTGCAGAAGAAGAAGCTGCAGTGTGGAGATAAGGACAGGAACCCTGGTGTCTGCCTGCTCCTGAGTCTCACCTGCCAGGCCCGCCCCAGGCCACCGACTCAGGCCTGCAGGAAAGAGGTAAGTTCCAGGGAGACTTTGCACAAATGTGAGCCCAGAGAGGAAAGCAAGTTCTGCTCTCTGGGGACTCCTGGGCCTTTGAGGAGAGCTCAACTACTATAGACCAGTTAAAATCATTTAACCCTGGGTTTTCAAACACTGAGTAGAAGATGGCTGGGAAGGGAGAGATCAGTGGCCTCAGCCCCGCCCATTGTCACTACCTAGAGTATGGGTGGTTTTGGTTTGGTTTGTTTTGGTTTTGGTTTTTTGAGACAGGGCCTCTCTACATAGACTACCTAGAGTTCTAACAACTGCACTAAGTTCAGATTTTAAACACACACACACACACACACACACACACACACACACACACACACACACACACACCGATTTAAAACATCTTCAAGCCAAGCTCTAAGCTATCTGGCCCTGATGCTAGGACCCCAGGGACCCTGGAGGCTTAGCGCTGAGTAAGGGAGTCTTTCTGGTCTGCCCTACATCCCTGCTGCCGTTGCTATTTCTATTGGTTCCCCCCAGTGGCACACCCAGAGGAGGGCAGGAGGTCGCCTCCTCAGCTGAGACTCCAAGGGGAACATAGCGAGGAAGAGGGGGAGTGGGCGCTTGCAGCCTGCTGCCCGAGGTCTAGCCCTCCACCGTCTCACCAATCCAGGGCAGCAGGGCGTTGACTCGGGGTGACACAGCTTGAGCCCCCTACCCTGCCAGCATGGCTCCAGCTCCTGCACCCAAGCACAGAGGTGGAGCCTGGCAGGGTGGGAGCCCCTCTGGTTAAGGTCCTGCCTGGTCTCCCTAAAGCCTCTTGAGGGTATAAGTGGCTCCACCTGATGTCCAAGCCACAGAAGACCAAAGCTAGGACTGTGAACAAATCAAGGACCTCTTGGGTGACAACCCCCCCCCCAGCACTCTGTAAGTTCTAGAAACTGCTTCAGGCTATCCCAGACCTACCTGCCTTGCCATGTCCCTTGAAGCTTTGAGTAGGACAGAGTTTCTGCCAGCACTGGGCACTGACCCATGCCCTCGGTTCCAGGGCTAAACAGACAAGGGGAGGCATTGAGATCTACTCTAGGCGAGGGGCCCAGAGTCCTTGCTCGGGCTGAGGGCCAGTAGAGCCCAGAGTGGTTGAGCCTTGGGAGGGATACACAGAGGGGATGTTTCAAGGTGAAAGGTGTAAAATGATATTCCAGGTCCTCATTCTGAGCCATGATGTGACCAGGAACTCACTCCTGCCTCTCTTGCCTGTGAGAAGCCAGAGCAGGTAAGTGACGCTAAGGTCATGGATGCCGAGGGGGAAGCTATCGACAGAACAGCCAACTCCACAGGGTAAGTGGCAGCTGAGCTCAACTCTCCAGGTCAAGAGAGACTGAGACGCACACTGGAAAAGGCTTTGTCTGAGATCCCGCTCCTCGCAATCAGGGTCAGTCTCCCTCTGCCGCTGGAAAGACTAAGGTGCAGGCTGAACCCCCACCCCATGAAATCAAGGCCCCCAAACCTCAACCAAGAGAAACAAACCAAAGCAGTGACCCCTCCTGCCTCCAGCCCTGCTGGCCAGAGCAGAGGAGTGGAGCTGGGCCACTGAGCATCTGTCTCAGGGAGCCGCCTACCAATGACAAGCTGGCAGCATTCAAGCCCCGCTGTGGCCCGCCTCTCAGCCTGATCCAAGCCCCTTTCCAAGAGCCTCCCACTACCCACAGCCCTTGGGATGACCTTGGGCTCAGCGGCCTCCTTTCAGCACCCGCTGGCATGGGGACCATAATGATAGTAGAAGACTGGGCCAGGAGTGACTGGAGAGCCACACACTTTCCAGATCTCAACTGCTCCTCAGATAACCCTGTCCCCTTCCCTGTTTGCCTGGCAGCAGCCAGAGGATACTGCAAAAATAAATGACACCACGTGCCTCCCTCCATCCTAACCCTCCAGCAATTCCTATCTCCCTTAAATGAAAAGCCAGTCTCCCCAGCATGGCCTAAAAATGCCCTGCCTGAGCTCACTCTGCTGTCCCCTCCCCAGCCACCCTGGCCTCTTTCTGCTCCCCAAGCTCATTCCCACCTCAGGGCCTTTGCACCAGCTGTACCCTTGGCCTAGAATGTTGCCTCCCTGGATCCTTCGGTGACTGCCTTTCCTGCCATTCAAGGCTCAACTCCAAATAGAGGTCCCGTCTGACTACCCAGTCATACTCCTCTGAGCTTTAGAGTGAGAAGGAAAATGAAAACTCTCCTTTTTTGATTAATTAAGTTTTTGGTGCATGTGTGAGTGCACCTGTATGTTGCAGGTTCATATGCACGTGTGTGCACGTATGTGCGGAAGCCAGAGGTCAACATGGGTGTCTTCCTCGATTGCGCTCCATCTTATTTTTTGAGGCAGAGTCTCTCACTGAACCGGAAGCTCACTAATTCGGCCAGACTAGTTGACCAGGGATCTTTCATCCCCAGGGATCTTCCCATCCTTTCTTCCCCAGCAGTGGAGGTACTGGAACATACCACTGTACCCAGATTTGAGGGGTGGGGTGTTTTTTGTTTTCATTTGTTCATTTGGGGGGTTGTTGTTGTTTGGTTTTGCTTTTTTGAGACAGGGTTTCTCTTCATAGGTCTGACTGTCCTGGAACTTACTCTGTAGACCAGGCTGTCCTCAAACTCAGAGATCCACCTGCCTCTGCCTCCCGAGTGCTGGGATTAAAGGCGTGCGCCACACCCAGCTTTTTATATGAATGCTGGGAATGCACGCTGAGGTCCTCAGCCTTGCTCATCAAGCACTTTACTGGCGGCCATCTCTGCAACCCCCCCCCCAAACCCCATACATGTTTCTTTCCTGACCACCTCCCCGACACTAGGACGTGAGTCCAGTCAGGGCAGGGCCTGTCACGGGCACAGCTGTCCAGAGCCTGTGCTATGCCCAGTACATAGGGATGCTTTATAAATATTTGTCAGCTGAGCAATTCGGACCCTTTTCCTCTTTGGCAGAGGCTAGGCAACACCGAGGAACATGCTCGGAGCAAGGCTGCTGCGGGGTTGGACAGCTCTATGGTCCTTTCCACGCTGGGGTGCAAGCCACGGGCTGTGGGAAGCACCAGGACAGCGCCGGAGGAGTTTCCAGCAGGCAGGCTCCAGGCTGGCTTGCTCTGCGAGACACCTCTATGCTTAGCTATACATAGCAGGCATTTGTGCTCATGCACATGTGCATACATACTCCGGCCCACAGCACCACACAGAGGGGAGGAGACAGTTCCTCTGGGTGTCGAGGTGGAAAGAGGAGCCTTCAAACCTAAGGACAGAGTCAAGGACAGCTAGATGTACATTACTGGACACCCAGGGTAGAAATCCTTCCATCTTTGGAGAATCTGGAGACAGGAAAGGGGACAAGCCAGAACTTCAGGCTGAGATGATAATGGGGAAGACAGGTACCTTCACCAGCCATCGCTACACAGAGTGGCAGCAGACGGCTTGGTGGAGGGTGGATAGGCCACTTGGTGGAAACGGGGCAGAAGGCAGAGCCATGATGGGTGCCAGATGATGAGAGCTACCCAGGACAGGCAGAATCTAAGCCTCTAGGGTGCTGAGCCCAAGTCAGGAATGCAGAAAGGTCTGCGGATGTTATCTGGAGGTGTTGAAGCCATAGCTGCCCCAAGGATCAGAGCTGGAAGCCAGGACGTTCTGGCCTTGCCTCCAGGGTGCAGGGGGGCTCAGGTAGATAAACCACGGGCCTCACCAGCCCACGTGCATCGGATTCAGAACATTCTCAAGCTCAGGATCTTGCTCAGCACCTGATGGGGGTTGGAAGGCCGCCCAGCTGGAATCTCACATCTGCAACACACTCAAGTCTGTTGGGGTTGTCGCGGATGCTCCAGGGGCGCAATCCATTAGCATGTGGTATTTATCCAAGAACCTTCCACCTCAGACACTTGCCCACAGAGCTCCACCAGGGTTCCCTGGCAAGGAAAGAGGAAATGCTCTCAACTGTAGACCTATTATCTGCCCCTGGGACTCACCCTAAGCCCTCTCACTGGCCCCACTACACACACACACACACACACACACACACACACACACACACCATGACAATCAGTGTGAAATGCTGGCTGGCATATAGCAAATGCCAAGAACAGACCCTACCTGGACAGTTCTGCCCCTCACCAGCCTGGGGCACAAACCGGTCCAGACCTGAGCACTTCCAGGGCTCCACGGGAATCTCTCATGCCCCTGGCAGCATGGACAGTGAGCAACTGTGACGGGACTTTTGGGTGGTATCCCTAGACCACACATCTCATTCTCCTTGACTCTGCCTCTGCCAGCCACAAGACCCGAAGATCGTGCTCAGCAAAGAGGTCCAGGAGCCTTCCCAAGTCGCATCACCCAAGTATGTCAATATCCTACTCCCAGAGGGCAGGAGGAAGCCAGGACAATATGGGAAACATGACTACCCGGGAGCCTTGGGAACATCTCCGCTCCCCAACAGCCATGTGACCTCGGGAAGGCCACTCACCTTCTTAAGCCTCCAGGCCACCCACAAAATGAGACCAACTAGCAGCCCCTATTCCACAGGATAACTGAAGGAAATGAGGAAGGGGCTGCATCCAGGGAAGTGCCTTGTCTACTTCCTTCCAGAAGCTTCTCAGGTCTGCTGGGGAACCAGGTGGCTGCCCATGCCCTGAGTAGAGTGCTCAGAAGAGCAGCACATAGCACAGGCCATTCAGCCTTGGAGACCGTTGTCCTTGGCAACTGTCAGAGCAGGTCCCAGGCAGGAGCTTCAGAGGCCCAGCGTAAGGGGGGAGACCAGTGGGGTGAACAGAGAAGGAACCCCCTTCCCTTAGGCAAACGGCTTCAGACTTAGCTACCGCAACACTCCCACCCAAGGCCAGGCTCATAACTACCTCCATCTCAAGGCACATGAGCCACACAAAGAGTTAAGTCAGAGCTGAAAATCTGGGTTCTGAGTGACTGTCCCCTTCAGGCAGTGAAGCTTTAAGCTATTAACAAGCCCCGCCCATTCTGTCTGCTAGGAGGCCAGCCTCCAGGGGGCTGTGGAGGTCCAGGAGGCCTCTCTCGGTAGTCTCGTTTGAACAGGAAGAGACCCCAGGGATGTGTGCAGATTTGCATCCATCTGCGTGTGCCCACTGGGACTTTCAGGGCCACTCTGCAAAGGTCATTCCTTGACATCCCCTAGCATTCTCTCTCCCTACCACCCCCAGACAGATGGCACCCTCATTTGCTTAACATTTACATACATCAGCATGCTTCTTTGGAGAAACCTTAACACTAATGAAATCCTCAGTGTCTGCTTTCAAATCCCAAGTCACGTAGAGCAGGGAATCCCCCCCCTCAGCTGACCTTCCTGCTGGGTAAGACCTTCACTATCTAGACCGTCACAGAACCAGGCTGTGCAGATTCTGGCAGTCCACTGCCACCTGACCACTGCTCTGCCTCCCTCAACTTGAGAAGGTACCTGGGATTCACCCTGCTTCGAGACATCTGACCCACGAATGGCCTGTGTGCTGCGTCAGACAGTCCCATGCTACGGGGTCCATGGAGGAAGCCCGCCCATTGGGATGGGGCACAATGTCTGAGCATCTCACTCAGTCTCCTTCAATAGCCAAGGTGAACCAAGAGCTCCACCCTCCACTTTCTGCCCCATTTCAGATGCTCATGTTTCCAAGTGGCACCAAGGGAACCCCTTCTCCTTCCAACCTCCTTCCATGTGGCTTTCCCCACCCTCCAAAGACCCTAACTGCCTAATGCTGCTTAACCCTCCCCTACCAATCATCTCTCCCCCCCCCTCCTTCCACTTCCCTGACCTGTCCTGGCCCGATTTCGGCTTGGTTCTGGCCTCCAGAAAGAGAAGAGCACAATGCCATAGAAAGAAGCTAGAGGGGGGCTCTCTAGCCGGCAGTCCACGACTGCCTCTTCTCTCACCGCTGGCCCATTGAGGGGACACCTTGACCTGGTAAAGCCTCAGTGGGAGAAAAGCAAGGGAGTCGAGACCCTGAGCAGCCCAAAGGATGGAGGTGCCACCCCTGAGGGGGAGAGAGGGGTGGGTGAAAAAGGTCTCATGTTGGAGAAGTTGAGTTAGAGGCATCTGGTTGGCATGAAAGCTGAGGTGTGGAGCGAGTACCTGAAGATTCCACGGGAAGGTAAGGCTGGGGGCATGGACACACAGATGGACGGACGTGGGGCCAGCAAGGCACAGGTGGCACTTAGAGCTGAAGCACTAGGTGAAATCGGTGCAAAGCCCTGGCCAGGCAGCTGTGCGGGCACTGGGTCCTGGAGTGCTCCCATTTCAAGGGACAAGAAGGGAGCCAGCAGCCGAGGCTGAGGAGCAGCGCACATCATCGGAAGCAAACGGGAGAACAAGCGACCCAGAGGCCCAGGAAGCATCTCAAAGAAGGAGCCAGGATGTGGGGGTGCTGCAGGCTGGCTCTGCTGAACCAATGAGGAGGTCACTGGTGACCTTGAGAAATGCAGTCAGGGAAGACAGAGGGGCGCTCACAACTGAGGAGAGTCAGAGAGAGTGTAAGGAGAGGATATGGAGTCTGGATCGCCTTTGCTAGAAAGAGAAGTAAGTGGCCCTGGCTGGAGGAGGCAAAGAACCGTCTTTCTGGAAGAACTAGAAAGACACTTCTTGATGAAATGGCCTCAGAGAGAACGGAACTATGGTGCGGAAGGGGGCATTTGCTAACAGTGTCTTCAAGCAGGCGAGAGGCGATAAGGTCTGGTACACAGGCCGAGGGTAGCCTCGGGCAGGAGAGGAACGCGTGGCCCTGGCCCACAGCGGCATGAGGACGGCAGGGCAGAGGTACAGAAACTGGAGGGTGGGTAAACTTGGTCCAGGCAACTGAGGAAGCTGGGACTTGTTTTCTCGAAGGCTTTGGCTGAAAGGGATGTGGGCAAGGAGAACCCAAGTGTGCTGGATAGTTTTGTCAGCCTGACACCAAGCTAGAGCTATCTGAAGAGGAACTCAACTGAGAAAATGCCTCCCTAAGATCCAGCTGTAGGGTATTTTCTTAATTAGTGATCGATGGAGGGGGGGCAGCCCATGGTGAGGGGTGCCGTCCCTGGGCTGGTGGTCCTGGGTTCTATAAGAAAGCAGGCTGAGCAAGTCATGGGGAGCAAGTCAGCAAGCAGCACCCCTCCGTGGCCTCGGCATCAGCTCCTGCCTCCAGGATCCTGCCCTGTTTGAGTTCCTGTCCTGACTTCCTTTGATGATGAAGAGTGGCCGGGGAAGCCAAATAAACCCTTTCCTTCCCAGCTCTCTTTCTGGTCGTGGGGTTTCATCACAGCAGCGGAAACCCTATCTGAGACACTGGGTGAGGAGCGACAAGGAGGTGCTGACCAGGAGAGGAGGCAGTGGGCTCTGGGCCGTGACCTGAGTGACGGACAGCGGCAGACCCACCTGAATTTGTGAGCCGGACCTACTGTGAGAGCTGCGGGGGACAGGCTGTGGTTTTCCTCAGGCTGGAGGGAACCGAGCACTGGGTTTCACTAGGAAGAGCTTTAATGGAGTCTCTTGGCATGGGGTGAGGAACTGCATTCTGGGAGGAAGAGAGTCTGCTGACTCCGGCAGGGCAGCTGCCTATATGCTGGCCCCTCACCTACTCAAGGACCCCGGCTAGTGCCTGGACCCACCATCCGCCCCTGCTGCAGGTGGTGTGTGGCCTCCCTTTGCCCCCACCACAAAAGAAGCTTCAGGACTTGCGAAGTGGTGTCTTCCATCCACGGCCCTCCATACACCCAAACCCCATCCACCGTCCCCCCCTCCTAAGCCCCAGGCAACAGCTCCCTGGTCACCCTCTGCTTCTAGCCTGATGCGGACGCTGTCCATCTGCCTCTGGGCTCTCCTTACATCCCTTTCCCCAGACGCTGTCCCAGTAGGCCAACCAGCCACACAACCCACGAGAAGGGCTGCACCACACAGTTTCCAAGCAGCTTGTGCCGGGCCACATCACAGCCTCCTAAATGAGCTTTCGTCCAACGTGCTACCCAACCAATCCTATTCCTCTTCTGAGAAACTTCCAGCGCACAAAATGACCCCATCACTCACCTCTGTAAAATCCTTCAGGGGCTCCCAATACCCTGGGGGAAGAGCCAACTTCAGCCCTCATCCTCCTCAGGCTGAGTCCTGGGTCTCTCTTTCTACCTTGCGCCCATTTTCTTACCACTCCCCCCCACACACCCTTCTCAGGCCTTCCTTCTCTCCTCATGAGCAGCACCTGCCTCCACCCAGAGGTATTAAATCTGAGAGCAGTCTGGTCTGAATCGGTTTGATCTGTTTCGATGGTTCGAAGCTGCACACCCCTGCCGCCGGGGTGCCCAAGTTGATGAAGTTTTGATTGTAGGCTAAAGCGAGTAAAGAATCAAAGCAAATGGACCCTCAGCCAAGCGGCCTCACAGAACACTCTCTATTGTAAGGTGTGCCCTCTGATGGGACACTGGGGATGGAACATCACTTATGGGCTGTGTCCACAGATGTTTAACGTGAATCTGATCAGGAGCAAGCAGGGAGACAAGCCAGAACACGGGAGATTCCACACAACTCCAAAACTGACAAGGTCATAAAAACAGCATAAGAAAAAAAAAAAACTTTTTAAGTCGGATGATTAGCTGAACATGGTGGAGCATGCCTGAAATCCCAGCATTTAGAATGTGGAATCGACAGGCAGTGGTGGCACTTGCCTTTAATCTCAGCACTTGGGAGGCAGAGGCAAGCAGATCTCTGTGAGTTTGAGGCCAACCTGGTCTACAGAGAGATTTCCAGGACAGTCAGAGTTACACAGAGAAACCCTGTCTCAAAAAAAGAAAGAAAAGAAGAAAAGAAAGAAGGAAGAAAAGAATGTGAAATCAAGGGATCAGGAGTTCAAGGTCATTCTCAGTGCTACACAATGAGTTTGAGGCCAGCCTGGGCTGCATAAGACCCCCGTTTCAAAAATGGAAGGGGAAGAAAGTGAGATTAATCCAGAACAAAAACATAACTTAATATAGTGTATAATAACTAAATATAGTGCATAATAACTAAATATAGTGTATAATAACTAAATATAGTGTATAATAACTAAATATAGTGTATGCTCCTTGGTCAAAAAAAAATTATAAACAGGTGTGGCGGCACACACCTCTAATCCTAGCACTCAGGAGGCAGAGGCAGGTGGATCTCTGTGAGTTTGAAGCCAGCCTGGTCTACATAGCAAGATCCAGGACAGCCAGAGCTATATAAGGAGAGACCCTGTCTCAAAAACCAAGCCAAAGAAACAAACAAGAAAGATCCATAACAGATACTTACAAAAAAATGTTACTAGAGCCGCTAGAGAAACTTGAATGGAGGCTAAATACAAGGGCAGGCTGAATCATTACTAGATTTTTCAGTTAGGATAATAGTATAACTGTTCTGTCAGAGAAAAAATATCCTTGATTCAGGGAATTTATGGTGAGGTAGTTTGAGGAAATGTATTTATAAAGCCTTCAAAAGAGGGAGAGAAGGGGAGGAAGACACACGGCCAGATGTTGGCTTCTGGGGGAAAGGGGTGCAGGTGTATGCGGAGAGTGACAAGATGCAATGAGGCAGGAGAGTGGAAGCGTTTGGGAAAAGGCCCCGAGGAGCATTGCTGCACACTGGGCTCCTGAGCAGGAGGCTCAGAAAGTGAGCCGCGGCCTGCAGCAAGCCACAGCCTTGAAGCAAGCTGGGCCATGGGCTAGCCTTGACCTGAATACCAGGCGCCCAAACGTGCGGGCACAGCTCAGGAGGACTCGCCACCCACAGTGAGCCCGACTCCACTGTGAGCCAAGCTCAGTGAAGAACAGGACTCTCAGAACATGACCAGACCCCAGAGGGACCAACAGGACATACCACAGCAGGGCCAGGACCTCCCCATCTTGGTGAAGCTGTGGCGAGGAGCCAGGTGTAGCCCTGGACTCACCCCACCCCCAAACATCCCTTGAGGGGTGACAGTCTGAGTATATCCTCCCGTAAAAGGAGCCAGGCTAAATATGGAACCCCAGACACAAGATGCTTCTCAAAACAGATTTTCCTGGAAAAGACCATCTGGCAAGAGGAGGTCTAGAGCATCGTCTGCTGAGAGAGGTAGCTTCAGTCTGCAGGCCTCCCAGAAGAAAAATGCCTCCACCTCACCTCCCTAGGAGACCCTAGTACAGTGCTTCCAGATCCCCCAAGGTGACTCCCGTGCAGATGGGGAGGTGCTGGGGCCCACCTCTGTCCTAAGCTGTAGTTCCAGGGCAGGAGAGAAGGTGGCTGGGGACATACAGCTGGGGACACAGGTCTGAGCCTGAGAAAGTCATACCCAGATGTAAGTCCTACCTTCACAAGATACTTAGAGCAGACAACTGCTTCCTGGGCCCAGAGGCCTCTCGATCAGAATGGGGGCAATAGTGGTGTCTCCCCCAAAACTCACAGGTGTTGGGGTACCCCACACACAGTAGCTTTGACCCATCAATGGAAACAGGGCAGTGTGGCATTCCCAAGCCCTGTCTCTCAGCCTCGTGGAGGGCAGGAAGCAGCTAGCTTTTCTCTCTCCCTTGAGCAATGACCCTAGATCTGCTTGGGACGTGTGTCCCCTCCCCAGGATTGAGCAGACAGGGCAAGCCTGCAGGAAGGAGACCTCTTAGTCTGGCACAAGGCACTTCAGAGCTCCAGGGAAAAATCACGTGGGCATTGAGACCTCAACCCCTATAGGAGGCACCCAGTGAAGAAGCCTTCCAAGGACACCTGTCATCCCTCTACCTTTAATGGGCCACACCTACCTACTCACCTCAGAGTGTGGGAACCCCCGAGGGCTCTGGTCATTCCTGTAAACCTGCTCTCTCCACCAGGATCAAACACTGGAGAAGCCCCCCACAAAACCCACTGCCTAGCACCAGGCATCAGGAGAAAGGGCTCTGGGGGAACAATTCTCTCTTCCAGACCCCTGGGTGGACAGGAAAAGTGGCTGGCCCATTGTCTTGATTCATAGATCCCAGGCCATGGAACTTGTAGCTTCCTTGGGAGGAAGGCATCTGTCGGGGTGGGGGTGGGGGACTTGGAGGTGGTCCTTATGCTCCTTGCCTGTGTCCCTTAAGCTAACTGAGTGGTATTCATGAAGCAGCTCCTGTCTGCAGGGTCTGGAGAGGACTAGGAAAATCCTAATGTTACCCCAGGCCCACTCTCCTACACCAGCAAACCCAGAGCAGGCTGCTTGGTCTCAGCCGGCTCAGCCAGGCTTGTCCTGAGCTGCCTGAAGGAGTCTTGTGCCCTTTTGCATTATAACTGTTGCATCTGCCCCCAGATCTCTTTCTGGCCCAGCAAGGTGGGCCTAAGACAAAGGGTGGACAGTGGGCAGTGGGCCCAAGATCTTGTATAGAAACAATGCTCCGGGTCTTATTTCAGAGAATCCCAGATCCTCCAGGGACAGGAGTCTAGAAGAGAGCCAGCTGGATAGGGTGGTCCCCACATCTGGATTCCCTGCCCCACCCAGACCCGGCACCCGGTTCCAAGGACCCCTCCTCTTCATGCTGCCATAGCCTTTCTGTGAGGCCTGGCCTTGCCTACCGCCTGCCACGCCCCCAAGCGAACCCCTGCTCTTGCAGAGACAGAGAGGCCTGGGCCCCAGGCCTGCCTGTCAAAGTTGGGAAACTGGAAAGAGAAATAAATCCTCCAAGATGCTCTGTTGTGGAGGTAGCTGCGGCCGGCCCTAGCACACAACACCCCAACCACAGACCACCAAACTGACACTGGCACCCCACCAGCGTAGGCGCTGACACTGATTATACAAAAGGGGGAGGGGACCGGGAGGCAGAGCCCGGGAGACAATTGGGCCAGCAGCCCCATCCTCCCCGCAGGCGGGACTGGGGCTCTTGGCGGCGCCCCCACTCCCTGGCCCAGTCCTGACCATCTTGGGCTTCCTCTCCCTGCCCCATCTCCATGACAACCGCATCCTTTGGATGCTCCAGCCACCACAGAATTGATCTCGAAATGTAGCTTTGTTAGCAGACCCTAGCGGGCAAAAAGGGCGGAGGGCGGCTCCCGCCACCCAGCCTGCGGTCCTCCCACCACCCTAAATCCCTTCCTAGTATCTAGCTGGCCTCCTAAGGAGAGGGGCGGGGTCCCGGAGCATGCAGGCCTTGGGGACACAGTTGGCTCGCGGCCCCACTCACCGCTCGGGTCCCAGCCTCGGGGTTCCCTCTCACGGCGGGGCCATGCCGAAGCCACCCCTGGACCCGAGGTCCCGCACCGCCGCCTGTTGGAGCTCCCCGCGTCCGTCCGTCCGTCCTTCTGTCCCTTCAGGTGTTGGAGGCTCGGCTGTGGAGAGGCTGGGCAGAGAAGGAGGGGACGGACTGCAGGAGGGAGGGAACAGAGCAGCGAGGGAGGGAGGGAGGGAGGGAGGAGCGGGAAGGACGGGAAGGGCGGGGGGGTGGAGGGGCTGCCAGCGTGCGCGCCGCCCGGAGGGGACGGTGGCCACCAGGAGGGCCCACCCGCGGTGCCTGGCCACGAGCGCGCGCGCGCGGGGGCGACCTTGTGCGGGGCGCCCACCCACAGGACTTGGCCACCCCTGGCCCGCACCCCTGGCTCTTGGACCCTTTAAGAAAGTGGGGGAGGGGAGTTCCACGAGGTCCCGCCCCCCTCCTAACCCGGCCCAGGCTCTGTCCTCGAACCTCTGGCCGACCTAACCACAGTCCCATCTGTCCCAGCCCCTGATGGAGGGACGGGCCTTGCCGCCACCACCCCCCCTAGGGCCCCCATTTCCATCATGGGAGATCTTACCTTGGTATTTAGGGAGCAAAGTAGAGAGAGCCCACGGAGAGAGACAGGCGCCCAGAGGTGCGGACAGACTTAGGAGTTGAGGACAGAAGAGAGGAGACAACAGAGAGAGGCCCAGCTGCAGATGGGAGTGAGGCGGGGCCACCCTGGGCAGGTAAGGGCGACGGGGGACAGCGCTCTGGGAGACAGAAGCCCCTGCCCTCGCCTCTCCTCCGGCTGGTCATGACCTCGCCGGCCCCCACCCCAGGTCTGCAGCTTCCTGGAGGAGTTGGACCAGACTGTGCCTGCGCTCCACACTAAGGGGCTGCAAATCTACAGAGCAAGATCCGACCCCTCCGAGAGACACTGAGGGGCTCCAAACCCTAGGAGCTGGAGGAGGGAAGGGGAAGCAGGGCGACCACGGGAACCCACCCTTCACTCTCTCCCTCTTCTTCAGCGTCCAGCTTCTGGTCACCAAACCCACGGTCTCTTCTAATGCTCTCCCTGTGTCCTACTCGACTCAAAACGACCCTGCGACCCATTTTACAGATAAAAACACTGATGCTCCGAGAGCAGACCTCGTTTGCCCTGGGTTTCAGGAGATCTAAGGAATCAGTGGGCACTTGAGAGAGGGCTTAGAACGCAAGCTTTCACCCACCACCACCCCCACCAGCCCTCAGACACCCTCTCATGCAGGGACCTCAGATCTTCTTGGGGGAGGAGAAACAACCTGACCCCACTACTGCCCTGCCGTTGAGGAGGGTGGCTGTGCCTGGGGCTCAGGAAGGGGTAGAGGCACCAGCCATTCCTACTGCACGCCCCACCCAGGTCACAGCCCGACCACCTTTCTAGGCTCTCACTCCATCTGCCCCACGCCGATGGTAGAGACTTGACTGATAGGGCCGGGCAGGGACAAAAGGAACTGATGAACTGGGTGCTTGCCCACACGGAGCCAGGCACGTGTGTGCGTTCAGTGGGCACGGCTCTGCTGGTGAGGACCGCTTGCTAGGACTGGAGGTGTATCTCAGTGGTTAGTGTCCTCGCCTAGCCTGGCAGCCGAGCGTGCCTGAGGACGCGGCTCTTCACTTTTTGTCTCCCATGCCCTGAGACCTGTAAGATCAGGGATGGCTTGTCACAAGTGTCCCCAGAAGTATCCCTGTCCACAGAGCAGGGAAGAATGGCAGGGAGGGAGAGACATGTGCTGTCCCCCACCTTCCCCCAGCCAGTGCCTCCCAGCTCCACCACTGTCCTCATTCCTCTCCGCAGGACATGGGAGCTCCTTGAACGCTGTCCCTGACAGCTGTCCCCAATTCCTCTCTCTTGCCTCTCTGTTAGTGACACTCTCCTTCCTGTGGCCAAATATCTGGAGAAAGCAGCTTAGGGGAAGGGCTGGTTTGGCCTCACAGTCATCGGGGAAGGCATACTGGCTGGTGGGAGCCTGAGGCCTTGAAGCAGTCAGGAGAGGGAAAGGTGAATGCTGGTGCTCTGCCCCCCCCCCTTTTTCCAGTTCAGGACCCCAGCCCATGGAATGGTGTTATCCACGTTAAGGTGGGTCTTCCACCTCGGTAACCCCAGCCTAGAAACTCCCTCACCAATACACCCAGGGATTTGTCTCCTGGTGAGTCTAGATCCTGTCAAGATGGCCATCGATATTAACAGACTCCAGCACAGCTCCTGTCTCTTCTGCCCTCACAACCCATGACGCCATTCATGAGAGCCACTGTTCATGAGGACCACCATTCATGAGAACCACCGTTCATGAGAACCACCGTTCATGAGGACCACCATTCATGAGAGCCACCGTTCATGAGAACCACCATTCATGAGAACCACCGTTCATGAGAATCACCGTTCATGAGAGAACCACTGTTCATGAGAACCACTGTTCATGAGAACCACCGTTCGTGAGGACCACCGTTCATGAGGACCACCGTTCGTTCACGAGGACCACTGTTCATGAGGACTACTGTTCATGAGAACCACCATTCATGAGAGAACCACTGTTCATGAAAACCGCCATTCGTGAGAACCACCATTCATGAAAACCACCGTTCATGAGGACCACCATTCATGAAAACCACCGTTCATGAGGACCACCGTTCATGAGAATCACCAACACAACTCCCAAGTACAGATGTGCAGCTTGGGTGTGGCACAGGGACACCTGAGCTTGCAGACACCCCAAGGAATCACCCACTCTCTTCTCACCGGGCTACAGATGCCAGGGAAAGACAACGTTTCTGTTTCTTGCATCCCCATGCAGTAGGCATGCCTACCCAGCCAGGTCCACCCGAGCCACATATGACAGTGCCGGAGGCTGACTGTAGCCCGGGCCGTGTGGCAATGCCAAGCCCATGCCCACTGTGCAGACTTCCTGATTCTCTGCAGTGTTCGACACTGTCCTGTCTTGGGACTCTACTCCCTGATGATATGACTAGCTTCCAAACCAAGCTAAATCAATGAGTGACGGCACGTGACCCCCAGGTCAGGTCTAGATACCAGTGCTGGCTGAGGTTCCTGCCTTCACTCAGCCCAGGGGAGTCCCCAGCCCTCTTCCTGTTCTCCTGCCCACCCAGGTTGAACCCTGGAAGCCATCTTTGCCTCTCCACTACATCCAATCCCCGGATAGTCGGAGACATCCCACCTAGGTCCCCTGTTGACCACTGTGGTCAGTCCCACTGCCACCATACTAGCCCAGCCACCTCTCTTCCCCGACTGTCACTGTGGCCTCGTAACTGGTTCCACCCACACCCCTAGCATTCAAGCCCAGCAGCTGTGGGGGCGAGGGGTGACTATGGAACAGAAAGACCCCACACTCTCTTGCTCAGATTCAAGCAGTAGCTCTCTCCGGCTCGGTCGCCATCTTCACGTGGCCTCCCGAGTCCTCCACCGTTTCTCTCCCAGCTCCTCTCTGACCCCGCCTCCTCAGCCACACCAGCATCCTTAGGCATCTTCTCTTGTGCCAGGCACGTTTGGCCTCAGGACCCTTGTCTGTGATGTGTCCCCTTCCTAAATCACTCCTCCCCCAGAGATCTGCACAGCCCAGCCCCCTCAGCCCTCCTTTCCCTCCTTGGGCCCACCACTTCCCCTCCCTCACCACCATCTCCCACCCCACCCCACCCCCCACCCCCGCTTTCTTTCCCTCCACAATATGAACGCACATATTTCGTTCACTTACTCATTCTGGCCTCTGTCTCTCTGCCCCCACCTCCTAGACCATAGGCTCCATGACGGTTAAAGAGTTCTTTTACTTCTCTGTCCCTGGGAGCTGGACTGGCACCTGGTAGGTACATCGGGGCATTCAGACGATGAACGCATCAGCAGATAAAGCACGCCTTTAATCCCAGCACTCGGGAGGCAGAGGCAGGTGGATCTCTGTGAGTTCGAGGCCAGCCTGGTCTACAAAGTGAGTTCCAGGAAAGGCGCAAAGCTACACAGAGAAACCCTGTCTCGAAAAAACAAAAGAACGAAGCTGTAAATACTAAAAAGGGTTTTGAAACAAAAACAAGCATGTGAACACACAAAACAGGGGGGTGATGGGCACTAACCTTTGGTGGGAGCTACTTCAGCAGCTGCAGGGAGGACCCCTCTTGGGAGATTTCCCCAGACCTGGGAGACACCCCTCCAGGCTCCAATGGCTTCCCAGTCACAACTTGCGCCTCCATATTGCTTGGACAGCTGCTCCTTGGGGTTAGGTCACTTCTCTCTTTTCTGAGTCCCCAGATCTACCACGAGCCAAGGAAGCATACAATAGGAAACAAACCGTACTGAACCAAAGAATAAATATGAGGCCAGGGACCAGTCCCTGCGTGGGCCAAGGACTCCACAGGGCCAGAGGAGGGAAGCCACATGTCAGGGGTCTGGGCAGGGAGATACAGAGGCTGGGCTGAATCCTTGAAACCTCCGTGTCATCTGGAAATGAGAACACTACACTGAAACCTGTGTGGGGACGAGGAAAGACCCTTCCCACTGGACAGGCCCTGTCAGGGAGGACCAGCAGTGAGGTGGGGGAGCAAACGGGGCAGCCAGGAAGGAAGGGCTCAAGAGGGTCCAGGTTTGCCCCCCTCCCCTCCCCTAGCAAGCAGCTGCTTCCAGCCCAGAGCCAGGACAGTGGACAAAGCCCTACAGGGGAGGGCCAGGGACCAGCAGTGCCTAGAGCCAGCAGGCCGCGGTCCCAGGGCACAGCGGTGCATGGCCCAGAACTCCATCTGAGAGCCTTTGTGGGCCTCTGGGAGCCTGCCCAGGAGAGTACGGGAACTGGCGATGGTGAGATGGGGTGGGAACCCCCTGCTTCCTGGGGGCCATCCAGGCCTGAGTAATAAGGGGTTCAAAGAACACCCCATCTGGCCTACTTGGTCCCAGAACTGCCGGGACTAGAGTGGCCAGTGCCACTCATCCCTGAGTTCAGGGAAAGGGAATCGACTAAGCCAGGCAACTTCTGGCTTAAGGCTGAACCTCCCTTCTCCTCCCCCCCCCCACCGGCGCTTTCAGGCCTCAAGAAGCGAGCAGGACAAGCTTTCTCAAAAGCCAAGGGACACCTGACAAGTCGCATCTTGCCCAGCCTTCCAGACAGCAGGTTTGCAGAGAGCTAGCTGGCGCTGGAGGGAGCGGGCCGGAGAGCATGGCTCCCTGCCGTCCTCTGCTGGTAGCACCTTGAATTACAGCGCACCACGTCACCAGGCAGGCACCTACAGCCGGTCCTCCCAGAAGGGCAGCCGGGCATTCTTGCACTAAGCGAGCAGATATCCATCCTTAGAGTCATCACTCGGCCTTAGCTGCGACGGACGTCCAGCCACACCCGTCTGTCACCAGCATCCGTGTCCCGATTCTCGCTCCTTCGACAAGTCCTTTATCTAGTCCAACCTGAGTATTTCCTCAACTTCGTCCGGGGTATCTCCAAAGACCAGGCTCTTTCACAGTATGGATGGAAACAGAGACGCTCTTCTCTTCTGGTGACCAAGGCCGCCTTTTCTGTCGGCCAACGACCACCAAGAACTGAGGGAGATACAGGCACTTTGCCCCAAGTCCTGATGCACCAAGGAAAAGTATTAAGTCTCACCACCCGGATCCGTCCTCCCTGCGCCCAGGAAAACGGAGTCGATCAAGGAGGGCTCTTTTGGGGTTGGGCCGCCACCTGCTGGTGGACACAGAAACTGCAACTGCCCCGCCTGGTAGAAACCGGACCCTAGAGAGCACATAAGATAACAAATGCTAACTTTTATTTTGCCCTTGTTCAGTGCTCCTGCCAAGTTCTTTTGAGAGACAAGAAGGTGAAGTAAGCTTCCATTGAGCCCAGGCTAGCCTCCGACTAGCTATGTACCCGACACTGTCCTTAAAGTCTCCTAAGTGCAGAGATTACAGGCATGTGCCACCACGGTCTAGCACTCCTGACAAGTCATCCAAACTGGTCAGAAACGATTCCACTTTCTCTGAATGAGGTGAACATTATTCACGCCAGCCCACCTTTGAGGACACTGTTCCCTGCTGACAGTTCTATTTCATTTTGTTTTCTTTTGGGGGGTACTGGGTATTGAACGCATCTCGCGACCACCTCAACCATATTGCTGACAGTTAAGTGACTTGCCCAGGGCTCTCTTCCTGGGTGCTAGCACCTGAGCTGGGGTCGGGGAGCTCACAGTCTGATCCCACTTACCATGCCAGCTTGGGCACAATGCTTGCAGCTATAACAGTATACGAGGCCCCCATCCCTGTCCCCCCCCCCCGCCCCCAAAGCCTACCCTATTGGCCTAAGAGTTCCCTAGGGCATAGCTAAGAAAGGCCCCTTGGGCTCTGGTGGCGGAGCCACCATGTGCTGGCCCCTCTCACCTGGAGGTATGCAACCCTTCCCCTGCAGGCCCTCCCCCGGATGTAGCCCAGGACTCCGGCATTGCTTCCCCACAAGGCAGGCTCCTCCGGCGGGGTCCTGGGGGCTGAAGCAATGCTAAGGAGAACACCTTACTGTTCCTGAGCAAACATAGCCGAATTCACGTCACAGGCAAAGTGAACCATGCCCAGGGCTGAACCAATCACTGAGGCCTGGGCTATGAGGAGGAGGGACCTAGAGTGATGTCCCAGGATATTCACAGGTACGGACGGTGGGAGAGACCCTGTCTCCAGGGAAATCTGGGGACAAATGCCAAGAGCCACCAAGAGAGGAGAATTGACTACCGTCTAGCATATAATTCAAATGGCCATTGTCTTAGATAGGGTTTTGTTTGGGTGGTTGGTTTTTTGTTTGTTTTTTTGTTTTGTTGTTTTGTTTTCTGAGACAAGGTTTCTCTGTGTAACAGTCCTGGCTGCCCTGGAACTCGCTTTGTAGCCCAGGCTGCCCTCGAACTTACTGAGATCCGCCTGTCTCTGCCTCCCAAGTGCTGGGATCAAAGGCGTGCGCCACCACCACTCAGCATTGGTTAGGGTTTTTATTACCATGAAGAGACACCAGGACCACGGCAACTCTTACAAATGAAAACATTTAATTGGGTGGCTCCCTTACAGTTGCAAAGGTTCAGTCCATTATTGTTGAAACAGGGAGCGTGGTGGTGTGCAGGCAGAGGTGGTCCTGGAGGAGTAGCTGGGTCCTACATCCTGCAGGCAACAGGAAGCTGACTGAGACGCTGGGCAGTATCCTGGGCATAGGAAACCTCTAAGACCACTCCCACAGTGACACACTTTCTCTAAAAAGACCACACCCACTCCAACATCTCCTAATAGTGCCATTCCCTATGAGATTATGAGGGTCAATTATATTCAAACTACCACAACCCTCAAACAGCCATATTAGACATTGGGCTCGAACTCTTTTAGGTTGAAGAAATCCAAATATTGTATATTCTCCACTCCCTCATCTGTTTAATAAATATATATTGATCCCAATTGTAGATGCCTCATATCAGGAAACAAAATAGACATAAATCTTCACCCTTCTTGAGGCTGAGGATGTATTAATAGCTCAGTTGTCGGCCGGGCGGTGGTGGCGCAC